CCGTTTATTGTCTTCTGATAAACATTTAAAATAATTTCAACGTCCGTCCTAATCGATGCTTCTTCAGTATTTTTACATTCTGGAAAAGTCTGTCAGTGAACACAATATACTTGAGTAAAAATATTGAGCTCCTTTAACAAGTTTAAGACCTCTGAAAAGTCAAAATTACCTATCGTAAGTGGCCATCCCAAAATGTTCTCCCTTACATAAGTTTCAGACGTTCGTAATTGTAACGTACGTTACTATTTTTCACTAATTTTGTTATTAACACCTGGAAAATTGGCAATTCATAGTAGTAGCTTTTTTAATGAAATTTTACAAAGTGAAAATTCTTTCGAACGAGAAACTGATGAACATTGAGCATTGTCCCGAAGCGATATCCGATTCCTGACTTTTTTTTATATATAAACGCCGAGTTGCGAAATGAAATCGCAATTCTCGTAAACGCATGCGGAGGCTGGCACGCACTGACCTCGAAAACGCACATGTACTATTTAACTATGGGCAATTATCACGATAAAGAGCGAAATAGAGGGAGAGGGAGCGAGTATAAGCGGGAGGGAAAAGAGCAATACTGCACACCTATAGCTCGGTTGTAGCGCTGCTTATTTTCCTCTGAAACTTCGCTTCGTACGATTATACAGATGTATATACGCACAAAGAACGAGGAAAAAAAGTGAAAATTATTCCGCACAGCTTTCCTTTGGGAGAATGACCTGTAAAAAGCCTCACGATGATACAAAAGTATCCCATTAGATGAAAATATAATCCTCGTGTATCAAAGTATAGGATATCCCCATTAGCCGCACGAGTTCTTCATTGGAGCATGACAGTGACGTCGAGAGAAGAAAAGAGAGGGGAAAAAAGTTGATGCGCGAAACGTATAGCACGCGTCGTTGACATGTAAAAGCCTTTTTTGTTCCGCATATATATATCGGACAACTATATAAATAGACGTTAATGCATGTGAGGTCGATTTCTCGATTACATGCGCGATCGATGATTTTTTGTCTTTCAGCTATCTAGCGCTTGATGAGAAGCGTATATTACTCGCTCGATGCGTTCGGCTTGCATAATGTGAAACCTCAAATTCGATTCGGTGTCATAGAGCTTGTATACACGATACATGCATGTATGCAGAGGGAAGCGCTGCGCATACATTTCGCGCCATATGTGTGTGCGTCTGTTTGTGCTGTTTTTTGTGCATGTATTTGTTTTGGTTGCTGTTTATACACAGCGCACTCACACACACACACGTATGCACACGCTGTCTGCACATGCTGAGAATCTCTCTTCCAAGCCGGATGCGAAATCGAGACTTTTTTCCTGCACAAGAAGCAGCAGCAGCAGGACGACCTGTTTTATTTGGTTGTCCGTTGTGCTGCTCGCGTTTTAAAGCCACAGGTACATCGACGTTGGCACTTGGGAATTTGATTCGCTCGAGACTCTCCGTGCTCGGCACAGATCGATTGCGACTGCTGTTGCCTCGATGGGGGTGACTCTTCGAGCAGGTGTGTGTAATTTTACGCACTGCAGTCGTTGTTTTCATTCTGCTTACGAGAGCACGGCTCTTTTCCCCTCGCAGATGATTTTTGCTGCTGCGTCGACGATCGATGTGGAGACCGATGCATCAAACTTTAATTTAATTTTCGAGTAAAAGCTTGCCTGACAAAACAAAGCATTTGCGAGTGCATGTACAATGAACAAGTTATTTCTCAACGGCAAATTCGATCGATCAGCGTGTAGAAAAATTACTGATCCAAGCAATAGATTGATTATGGTTATCACGGAGGTGATAATTATCCAACTATCAACGAATGTCATTCAGTGGAATGCAGTGCGCAAAAACAAGTTCGAAATTATACAATAAAGCTTGATGTGTTCAAATTGGCCAGTGAAAAATACAATGCTACTGTACAGATCACATGATTTGTGTTAAAAAGCGATTTAACAGATTTTAACTGATGTACATTAGAAAGTATGCCGAGCCTATTTATAATATTGCGTGGCCTCTTTTTCTCTATTCATAATTTCATATACGTTTTCCACTCGCAGTCGCAATACGTATTTACTTACGTGATCAAACAAGTTTGCAAAATTTCGACACAATTTTTTTTCAAAACACTTTCAATTAACTCGATCCGAGAGTAGTAAGTACGTGACATTATGTGCAGCTACGCCTTGCCGGTGAACGAATTGCATGCGATAATGCGCAGCTGGCTATCTTCGGTCAATATATGTAATTATTGCTCGTCCCACACGGAATCTCCGGGCTATATTAAAGTCGGTCGTGTGCAGTCGGAGTGCAAGAGATGCATCGAAAATATCACAACGCAGCATCAGCTGATAAAAGCTGCCGCGCAAGCATTAGACGAAGGAGTAGAGAACGAGAGAAAGCCGTTCGTGCAGAGAGAGAGAGAGAGAGAGACAAAGGTCTTTGACTCGCGGGTAGACCGTGCAAAGGCTTCGACGAGCGCGTCAAGAAATTTTGAAATCGCGAGCGTCCAAGTAAACAGTACATTACGTACGATATTGCGTAGATATGTGTATGTATGCGGCATGCAAGTATTGTAACTGGCATGTGCTATGCGAGATATATCATACGCGCGCGGCAACGCGTAAACGAGCCTGCGAGGAGTCGGAGCTCGCCGATGAACTTATCGAAGCCAAACGTGTTCCATCGCTGCTGCTATATACGCGCTTATCTGACATATTCCGGCTTTATCAGCCGAGCGCGACTCGAGGCTATCGCGCGACTATATAATAAGCAGAACGTATATAAGTCGCTTGCCGCGGCTCGATTCTTGACTTTAATCGACGACGACGAGTTCAAACGCATTGAAAGGATTCACGTCGTGTACAGAGAGAAAAAAAGTGGCCGAGCGCGGCTCGTGCGAAAAAAAGGCGCGAGTCGAACGCTCGGCTGTAATGTAGTATTAGCAATTCCATGAATCGAACGTTTGGAGCGCGCCTAAAGCACATCCGCTTTTGCAGCCGCGTGTGTTTAGGCATGCTCCGACTTGTCCGCGTATATACGAATCGCTGGTCATCGCTCGTGTATACTGCTAATAGAGCAGATGTAGCCCGAAGCGTTGCTGGGCTGCAAACAAGTAGGCGCGCGCTGAAACAGGTACCGCTAATTCGGTAGGTAGCACATTGGCTCGCGGAAAAGAGAGAAACTCGAGCGAAGGAGGTGCAGGAAAGTGCGCGAGATCGGCCGCGCGTTGGAATTTTTTTAGGCGCGCAGGTGCCTCGCGATAAACTTTGACTCTTTTTCCTCGTGGTCTCGCGGACTGAGTTTGCTTAGTAATAGTTTTGCGGTCGCGTCGCGCCAAGCAGTTTGGTCGAGCAACAACGATAGGTAACGCGAAAAAGAGCCGGCGCGCGGCCTCGATCACTCCGCTTCATCCTCGGTGCGTAGCAGTATATACCACAATGCCTGGCCGCCGTTTATAACAACGTTTCCGCTGGGTAATCTCGGCTTGATTTTCGCTTATAACTTATAGCCACCGCCAACGAGTTGTATCCGACGTACCGCAGGCGATACGAAGATGGCCTTCGATCGGCGGAAAAGCGTAAATTTCCGAAATACGAGGAGTTGGAGAGTAGGGGCCGGACAGAGGCTTTCCGCGTAGACCGACTCGAGTGCGAGGGTAAATCGTTGCGGCACGGATCACAGCGACACCGTCCACGCAAACGGACACGATGAATCCGTATTTTTGTCAATCACGCTTCGTCGATTCCGTCAGTTATATCAGCGAGGGAATTTATAAACGCGGGAGAATATGTCGGGCGTCACATAGAGGCGAGTGCGCACGTACACTACGATGGAACGAGGCGTCAGAAAAGTTGGAGCGCGCTCGATTGGTAATGTTGCCCGAAGCGCTAGGTGTATATACTGCAATTGGGGGGAGCAACACAGGCGGCTACTTTGGCATATGCAGTTAGGTGGATGTAGACTCGAGCGAAGCGTATAACGTTAACGAGGCTGCAGAGGGTGGCCTCGATACTTTGGCGTCGTGGCCGTTAAAGGGAATCAAGCGCACCGAGTCTAGGACGACTAAACTCGGGGCCCAGGCGCGCTGCACTTCCAATCAAGCTAACGAACTTGAATGGAAAAAGCCAGTGAAAAAAACCGAAAGCTGCTGCTGCTGCTTCTGCAGACAAGCAAGCAGCAGTCAGGCAGGCACACGGGAGAAATTATCGATTAAAGCGTCGTGTTTCTCTCTCTCTCTCTCTCTTTCTCTCTGTCGCTATAGCGCACGAGCTAGCTGCTGGCTCGACTCGTTCGTTCTCTCTCGCTCGCTCGCTGTCTCGCGCGTTCCTGCTCCCCCATAGTGTCGGCGGCGGACGACGACGACTGACACATGCATAAAACACACACATGGGGCTGTTTGGCAAAGCGCGCTGCATCGTCGTCGTCGTCGCCGCTGCATATTCGTGCAGGCTTCCAAGTGGAATTTAACACACCCACAAAGCACACGCGTAGCGCGCGATACAGCGACGTCGTGTGGTGCCGCCGTCACGGCTCTCGCGAGAGAGAAAAGTCTCGCTGCAAAACGCACGAGCAGAGAGATGCCTGGCTAAAAAACCAGAGAAAGAGACATACATGTATAGAGAGAGAAACGCGCAAGAGAGAGAGAGAGAGAGAGAAAGAGCGAGAAAGAGAGCGAGAGAAAGAGAAAGAAGGAAAGAGGCAGGCGCGACCGGGGGTGTGAGTCAGAGGCTAGGTATCGAGGACACTCATGCACATTGCACGCGCAAACTCTGCTCGTTCAACGACACTCGGCTCTGCACCGCAACTGTACACTCGGCCTGTATACAGTTGCATAGGCAGCCAATCGCATACACACGTATACACACACTCGGATTCGCACGCATACACACATACGCACTCGTACACACTTTGACTATTTTTTGGCTGTGTGCGCAAAAATTGGACCGGATCGACCGGTCCTGGGACTTGGTCAGCGGCTAAATGCAAATCGTGCGAGACTCACCTTCGGCGAGCTCGAGATCGAGCTCCTCGAGCTTCTCGCGCACGTCCTCCGGCAGCTTGGCCATGTCGACGACGCCGATCTCCGTCATGTTGCCGGCGTTGTTGTTGTTACTGCTGCTGCTGCTGTAAGACGCCGCCTTGGCTGCACCCGCCGCTGCTGCTGCTGCTGGAGGAGTCGCTCAGGACTCAGGAGCCGCAGCTAGCATTCACCGGATCACGCACTCGTGCACATGCCAATCGTGGGCCGCAGCTCACGCTTTTTGATCCTCGGAGATCCGACTGGACGTGCACGACGTCACGCACGAGCACACATATATTATTCACGCACACGCACTCGACGAAACTCACTATCTCTGCTCCGTTAACAGTTATCACCTCGTCGAGCCTTGGCCGTTCTCGCTGTCGAGCATCGGTGCAGCGCGAGCCGAACACACAGACACCGTCCGCGAATCCGTCGAGAGAGAAAACGGAGCCGCTGTATACGACACCAAAACAGAGACACTATCCGACTCGGAGCGTCCAGCAGCCGCTCTCGCGACTAACGCACACGCTCTTTACTCTTTGCACTGGTCTTTAATGCAGGTAGCACTGTAGCAGGTATATATATCATGCACGTATATGTGCTTGCGCGTGCGTGTGTGTGTGTGTATACGGAGTCGAGCACTTGACGGTACGTAGGTATAAAAGCAACGAGGCTACTTTGTTATCACGAGTTAGCTTGCGCTATATACGGCCACGGAGCTGTCCACGGCTGGCACTAGCGGCTGATATTACGTACGCTGCCCATAAGACGTGCTATGTCGCTATGTTATATGTGTACGTATGTACACACAGACTAGCGCGGTATACACACTACGACACACAGAGACACGACGGCCTGAGTCAGTGAGACAGACGACTGCGAAACAAGCGGCACACGCACACTCGAACCAGTGTTGACTACGACGACAACTACGACGACAATGAGAGATGTATTATAACACGTATAAAATATATAGCTGCTCGGAGCTCCGTTTAGGCCGTTGCTTTGGGTCAGCGATCCGCGATGTTCTGATTTCTGCTAGTAGTTAGCAGTGATACAGCAGCGCAGGCCGCAGAGGCGGTTTGGCAGTTGGCACTTTGGCAATGCGGTTGTGCGCGCGGAGCGACCAAACAAACAAACGATTCGGTCGCGGCCAGTCGTCGACTGATCGAACTGCAGAAGCAAGTAGGCAGGCGGGCGAGCGAACGAGCGCCGCTGCAGCACACAATAACAACTGTCCGAACGACAGCTCACAGTTTACATGCTATGTGTATGTGCGTGTGTGTATATAATATGCGTATATTTTTGTGAATGCATGGGATAGGTATGCGCTGAAGAGCAGGCGGAAGGCACACGGAGAGTCGGGCCACCGCACACGGGCCAGCACGAGAGAGCGACTAGCGACTAGCGAGCGAACGAGCTCCGCTGCGAGCGCGACAGGCACGTATAATACAGCCGCGCACAGATGGACTAGGAGCAGCAGCGGCGGCGGCAGCGGCCAGCCGAGTATATACAACGAGTGTATACAACGAGGCGCCGGAGAAGGCAGAAAACGAATCGAGGCAGCAGTAGCAGCCGCACGCGTTGCGCTGCGCTAGCTCCAATGCCTCCAATGTGTGATATTATACATCGCGAGCCAGAGCTCCGAACTCGTGCGTATGGTAAATACAGCTTGTATTTTTGCGCCGAGCCTGTGCATAAAATTTAAAGCGCCTATAGCTGCAGAAGCAGTCGTGCGGATCAAAGGCTGCGGATTGAGCTTGTCGCGATCCGCGTGCAGCAGGGAACACCACAGTTTTTTAATACGCTAAAATGCCAGCAGTTTTCGTACGGTGTCTACAGTGATACGAAGTACGCATATTGGCCGATTCGAGACTATAGGCCTCGATGGCACGATCGCTCATGTGTTCGCTGCAGCAGGGCACCGAACTCGCAGACCGACTCGATTCTGACCGGGCGACGTGACCGGTGACGGTATAGACGAACTCTGTCGACAATTTTGCGAACGCACCACCGTCCAACAAACGTCAAAACCGTCCGCATGAATAGGACGTGCGTGCAAAGCCCAAAGTAAGCACTGCGCCAGTCGTTCGAGTCCTCGCAACCCGCAACGATCGCAAGCTGTCTCGACTCGAGTTTCGACTTTCGATTGCAGCGCTTCGGTTTAAAGCGCCTCCCGTAAGCTGCAGTCGTTTGTTTTTTTGTTTGCCTCGTCGATCGTCGCTCGCCCTTGCGCGCGAGATGCACCAACTGTACTACGCGATCGCCTACTTTTGATACGCGGCACCGTATGAATTCGAACTATTCGAAGGGTATGAGCGAAATACGCGCGAGCTCGTGCGCAGTATACAGGTATAGGCTTGCAACTTTCACGATGAAAAGCCACGATTAACGGCCCAGAGAAAGCGTCCCTATTTGCTTCTATGTTTCCCCGTGTCTGCAGCTGCACGTGAACGTTGATGCTGCTGCACTGCCTTACCTCCTCTCTCTCTCTCTCTCTCTCTCTATCTCTCGCTACTCAGCGAGTCAGTCCTCCAGTCGACTAAATGGAACGCGGGGACTCGATTATAATATGCGCTGTGCAACTCGCCAATTTGACTGCAGTCCGATGCTGATTGCTCCTACACACGTGCGCACATTTCCAACGCGCTTCCACACGCATGTGTGCGATTTATTTATCGACTAGTTATTAAGAGTAGAAACGATCAATTAGATTGACCTGTCTGTACTTGCCTTCATTACCGGCGCAGATGGTCGACCTAATTTTTCCGTTGCATCTATTCGCTAGGTGATTTTTTCTCCACTTGCTTTCAACGATCGATGTAAACTTATATAAAGTGAAAGATGTTATAAAGCTCTTTAGAATTGTCCTCCCCATAAAGATGCCTGGCCCAGAATTCATTGGAAAAAGTAGGGGTTGTGTTGACAAACATTTCAAAATCAATTTTCTCGACGTTCTAAAAAATTTCAGTTGCTCAGAGAATTTTGACCAAGAGATTGAAAATTTTGAAAATTACTGAGCATCAGAACTTTCCGACTTTTAAGAATCTTTGAAACTGTACTCCCAAGTTGCAACTATCTCAACTTCAACCAAAAAATCCTTAATTGTATGAAAAGTCGACGCGTTCCGTCGCAATATTACATTTCACAGATTTGCTTCGAAATATGCGATATTTTATCCTTTGCCGAACAATGCCAGATGGAAGCTCAATTGGAAATCGAATATACGTTATAAGCTACAAATTCATAAAAAAATAAAAGTAAATTAATTTCGAAGCCGTTAATTGTAAGCAATCCGATAGATTGAGGTATTTAATTCAAATTTATAAAATTTTATCTCAAGTCTGGATAGGTCGAATGTTAATATTTATTCTCATTGTTTTAAAAATTATAAATTGAATGATAGAAAAAAAATACATTAAATAGGTAGTAATATCGATGCCAATTTAATTATAAGTAACCGCGTAAATTTCAAAAACTATGCATAATGCAATTTTCTAATTCTAATATGTACTTGACTGAATTTGAAGCTCGATCATTTCATTACCGTCAATACACCCGTCGTTCAAGACCAATCACCTGACCAGCCATCCCGAACGCAATGATATATTGTCTTATATAGGTGTAAGCTCCTACGCCAGCAGACTTGATACCGCATTCCGGACTAATAATATTTATGTAACGAAACGCACTGGAAGGGCAAAGAAGTCGCATAAAAATAACAATGGACACCTTATCGAGAAAATTGTATTAGTGACACCCGGCATTACACTTTTGAGCGTATGCCATTTCAGCATTTGTGATTTCCGAGACTTGGACGTTTAGATTGTTTAACAATCGACAGTTTCGGGACAACATTTCGTTAGATAATTAACGAATACCTTTGTTATTTCTTTTATCTGTGATCGAAGATCAAGTAACAAGTTCAATCCATTAGATTAGAGGTTAGCTTTTCTTTTTATTTCTTTACTTTTTACAACTCTTGAACATATTTTTAAATAGATTTCTTTTTTTATTGTTTTTATTGTTCTAATTTCCCTTGTGCAGAGCTTTTTTGTACGAGTACATTCTTAACTTAGTTTATTTTTCATTATTTCAGAAAATTTTAATTACAATAATGGCTCGAGCAATACCTGCTGGTTTAGAGGATGAACCGTACTTCTCAAAAGATGAACGTGAATTAGAAGAAATTGCTAGGCTTGATGCAGCCAATAAATCATGGATGAATTCTCTACATCATGTTTGGTCTCTGTGTAAGATTAATTAAATAATATACCATAATCCAAATATTGAAAAATGTTCTATTTTAATATTTTTCGTTCAGGGAAAAAGAGTCCTGGTGTTGCTCGAACTTTGTGTGAATACTTTGAATCAGCTCCTAATCCATACTATAGTGCATTAAAAATTTTAGTCAACACAAATGATTTTTATAAAATTAAACCATCAAATTCATTGGCTTTAACTGGTAAATACTTAGTATATGCAATATATTTAACTCAATTAGGTTCTTTTAATATTTGAATTTTTTTATTTGTTTAGTGATGGATGAGTTCATGGATTGGATAAAACCAATGAAAGAAAAATATAAGGATTGTTTAGTAGTAGAACTTAAAATTGCTGCTTATAAATTGGTTGCCAGGCAAAAGAATGCCCAGCTTTTGAGAACAGTTTCAAATGTGTATGAATTTGCTAACAGCAAAAATTACTTTATTCCAATTACCAAAGTAGGTTTTAAAATTATTGTATAAAATATAAATTTGCAAACAAATTAAAATTCCAAGAATTTTTCATTTACAGTTGTATGTTAACGATAAAAAATATAAGGAAGCAGGACAACTTGTGGAATTGTGTCAGCTTCAAGATGAATTTTCTGAACCTGAAATATTAATATTGCCGTTAATCTTACAAAATAAAAATTCTATTGCTGAAGGAATAATGAAAAATCACCCACATCTTCAAATGAAACTTGTAACATTCCTTGACAATATGTTAGCTCCAGATAATAATCCACAACAAATCATGGATCGATACATAATGTATGTTTTTAAATAATTTCTCCAAATCAAACCATTTTTAACTTATAAAAATTTATTTCAGAGATAATAGTATACCTGACGTACAGTTTTCAACTTACCAAATAAAATCGATTGCCAGATTAGTTGCACGTTTAGCAAAACAGTTTAATCTTCCTCCAGAGGCATGCCCATATTTACATAAAAAAAGGGGGGAAGGAGCAGTTCAATTTTTAGTTTATAAACGATATGTTGATTGTAGTTTGAGTATGTAAATTCCATTATATTAAAATTAAATCATCAACTATTTCTATTATTGTATGTATACTATTAAATTGAATTTATTAGGTGCTGACAGCTTCAGAGAAATGGTCAAAGAAGCAATTGGAGATGATACTAGAATGCAATTAAATGTTGTAATAACTCTTTCTGGTAATGATGTTCCTGAAGCATATAATTTTGCAAAATTTTACAATATACCAAAATCTGATTGGCCTCTACCCCTTACTATCTATGAAAAGGATAATCAAAAAAGTAAACTGAAACCATTTTGCTATTAAAAAGCGTAAAGAATAAGTCTAATTGAATTTTATATATTTAGCACATACAGATGACACTCGTCAAATTTTCGAAGAGGAATGTTGGGACGAAGAAGATCGCACAAATTACTATAATCTATCTTTACCAAGAGATAAAATTCTTATTGTTGACAATAGAGAAGCTTTCAAAAACTTTCTTGGCATTGGACTATTTAATGTAGATATTGTTGGTATTGATTCGGAATGGAAACCTAGCTTCAGTAAGCATAAAATACTCATTATCTAAAAGTTTCCTGAATAGAATTATTGTTTCATATTCGATTATTTATAATATTATTTTTCTTGTGTTTCAAAAGGTATAAAAAAACCGGAACTAGCTTTAATTCAAATAGCAACTCAATCAAATATTTATATATTAGATGTAATTAAATTAGGACCTGGTAACCCAGACTTATGGACAAAATTGGGTACAAATTTATTAAACAACAAGGATATATTAAAATTAGGTACGATTCTATTACTACTATTTTTGTTTAAGGAACTGAATAATTTCAATCGTTTTTCTCATAATAAAAAACTTTCTAGGTTTTGGTATTGCACAAGATATCAATGTTATTCAGGAAAATTTACCTGCTTTATCAAATATAAAAGTGTCCCATGATGGTTACATGGATTTATCACATTTGTGGAAAAGACTTTTAGAGGAGGACCAGTTTTCATTTCCTTATAAAGGAGACGAAAATTTTACCAATGAAAATTTAAGTAAATTGGTAGAATTATGTTTTGGTGCTAAGTTAAACAAATCTAATCAATTTTCTAATTGGGAAAGACGACCTTTGAGAGAAAATCAAATTATATATGCTGCATTAGATGCTTACTGTTTATTGGAAATTTATAATACTTTAAATCTACAATGCAGACGTTTGGGAATAAGTTTTCCAGAAGTATGTAATACTTTATTCAAATCTTCTCGAAAATCGGCACAGCGAGAAAGAACCAAAAAGTCTAGGAAAAGTAACAACGCATTTACGGTAAATTAAGCAGATATATTAGTTTAATGTATTATTTTATGGTTTATTTAAAAAATCATGTTCATTTATTAAATATCGTTCTTCACATTCATAACTTGCAATAACGCATTGCGTAACTAGTGCGTGAAGTAGGCATATTATTCACGAGTTGAGTACATTTCTCTGGCGCAGAGAAGATGAGATATTTACTCGTACGTGAATTGCCTCCTTTACGTACGTGTTGCATACCTACTATTTTTTAACAAACTGCAAGCGAAAATAACATGGGATTTCAATTAGACTTAAATAAAATGCCGTGCTCATGCAGTATGTCAAAAAATATGTTTATGTCATCAATTGGTATCAAATCATTCTGCTAAAGTCATGAACATTTTTTTATCTACAGGATATCGACTATTGTGGTGGTTCATAGATTTATTTTTTAATCATTTTTTTCAAGATCACATGAAAAATTTCCACGCAATTTCAGTTCATTGTAAATGATTCTATGTATGAGTGATAATAATTTTAATCATTGCCAAATAAAATACTTGCTTTCATCCTAATTTGTGTTAAAACTATATCATACCTACCTATGATTTTAATAAAATGTGCAGAATCGTAACCCATATAAGAACTATGGAGACATCCTCCCTGATCGAGCTGAGCAAAATTTCAAAACCATTATCGAAATTGATCCACTTTCACGAAAATTAATAAATGAAAAGGTTCGAAACATGTATGAATGCAGTAATTCAAATAATGTGCAGGTGATCATTTAATTTTGATTTAATTTAGAAAACTCATTTTTATTGTTTTTATTCAAACCACAACTTTTAAAGGATTTCAATCGCCACCATTCGCCAGTGGAAGAAGCTACTTTTGAAGCCACTCTGCTTCACTCTCACGGAGAAAAAACAAGTAATACAGAAGATAATCAAACAAGAACAATTACATCCATAAGTTTTGTCTGTGATTCAATGTTTGGAGCACTTGCGAGACAACTCAGAAAGTGCGGAATCGATTGTTTTTATATTGCTAATGATACTGGAGGCGAGCATAATTTTAGATTAGCTCTTGCAAATAAAAGAGTTTTATTAACAAGAAACGTAAATTACAAAAAAGTAAGAAATCTAAAATTCGATCATAAATATTATATTTAATGTAAATAATTAAACAATTGATTTAAAATAATTACAGTTTGCACAATACTTGCCTTTTGGCCATTGTTATGAAGTGGTTGAACACAAACCAGTTGACCAACTTGTAGAAGTTTTGCAGCATTTCAAAATTAAAGTCAAAGAATCAAATATTTTTAGTAGATGTCAGGTGTGCAACACAAATGAATTCGTTTATGTATCAAAAAATACTATGTCCTTATTATTGCAACGGTAAGATGAGTGTATAACTATTTTTTAATTTATTTTCTACGGTCATTCATTGAATTAAGTAATTTTTTATTTCTAGTTTCCAAGCAAAATCAGCCCAAAAGACCAACAGGGCTAATAGTGAACCAGGATTTTCCGGGGACAATGCTGATCAAATATGGAATAACGACCATCCCACACCCGATCAATTTATTTGCCGTTCTTGGCGACTATTTTTCAATACCTTGAATATATCCAAATGTACGACGAAATACAATGTTAATGTGCAAATCGATCAAGTTCCTCCAAATGTTTTGCGTTATGTTGATAAATTTTATGTTTGTGAAGGCTGTGGAAAAGTTTACTGGTTTGGCTCTCATATGGAAAAAGCTTTAAACAGCTATCTCGGAAAAATTTTAACTTAAATACTCTGTGATATTCATTCAGAGCATTACATCTATTTATTAGTACATGGTATTCTTAAATGTGCAAGTTATTGATATAAATGTAATTTAAATAAAAATATTTTATTGATATATTTATAATCAAATACCACGAGCTCTAGCTTAATACATTTAATAATTTTCTGTACAAATCAGTATTAATCAGCAAATATTGCTATTCATATTCAATAGTAATGAACAAGAAAAAAGTATCATTTTTTTAAAAATAAAACTTTGGGCTTAAAACAACTATTTGGATTATCTAATTATCCATTCATTGAACTGTGTGATTTTGTAATAAAATTGATTAATACTATAAGGTACTGAGTAAATGAATGAAAGATAAGAATATTTCTTACGTAAGTAAATTAAAATTTTAAACCAGTTCTTTAAATTTTTTAAATTATTCAATTTGAAAAATTTAGGGTGAAAAAGTAACTATGTTAGTGTTACGGACCCGTATTTTCTTGCCCTACGGGTGCTACTGCCCATGCACAAGCAGTGCCGATCAGCTTAGCTGATCGGGCACCCATGAGCTTTGACTACCGAAAAACGGTGTACAAAGCTACGTGGCGCCAAACTATAGGTTTGGCGCTGACGTTAAGCTCCGAAGGCGACTTTCGCATCGTAGCGGCGCGTAATGCAGCGTCGACTGACTTTTCGTTCGGTTGTTGCCTAGCAACGCCTTTTATTGTTAATTTGCTTTCCTTTTTCTTCTTTTCCCTTAGATTTCATTGTGCTTACAGAGAGCGACGAGGCAACACCAAATAAAACATTTTATAATTCAAATCGTTGTTTTAATTTATTTCGCCAAAGCGATTACAGTTAGTTAATTATGAAATACAATTATTTGTCAAACTTCCCAAAGGTAGTTTAATTATGTCATCAGGTAACCATTAAAAAATAAATCTATTTTAAACAAAGATTTTCAAATAAATTAATTTTTAATTATAATTACATCTGAAACAATACTATATTACAAAAGCTTGTCATTATCATAATATAACAATAATGTAACAAAGAGTCGAGAAGCATTCGACGCCATTTTAAAACACACGTAGGAAAATACATTAATTTTCCAATATACATTTTTTATTACGGTGCTGCTTGTTGAGGGGGGTGAGTTTCAGTCGGCGTAGGAGGAACCGGTATAGAGCTTTCAAAATCTGCAGGTTCTACAAGTCGTTTTTTGCCGAAAGGTGGTGGCCCTATCAATTTTTCGACTTCTTCGTAAGTTAGAGTTTCTTTTTGTAAAAGGGCAGTTGCCAGCTATAAAATCATTTTTTATTATATATTATGCAATGATTAGAAATAAAAATGACACCTTCCTAAATACTTACTTTTTCCAATTTATCTTTGTTTTCTAACAACAATTGTTCCGTTCGCTTGTAGGCTCGAGTTATAATCGTCCTGGCTTCTTGATCCATCAGATTTGCAAGTTTCTTACTGTACGGCTTACGAGTATTCTAAAATTATAGTCAATTATCATTTTAATATTTTTTCATACCAAGTTTAGAAATGGTATTGATGAAAAAAACAGTTTTTATACCGTTGCAGTTTGATCGGGAGTAAACGAAAGAGGTCCAATTGTGGGATCCATCCCATAGAGTTGCACCTGTGCGTATGCCATTTTAGTGACTTTTTCCAAGTCATTCTGAGCACCCGTGGTAACCTTGTTGAATGTAAGGCTCTCAGCGACCCGACCGCCGAGGGACATGCACATGCGTTCGAACATTTGCTCGCTAGTGTAAAGCTTTTGATCGCTTGTGGTGAACTGTGAGAAGCCAAGGGCTCGATTGGTACGCGGCACGATCGTTACTTTGAGTAAGGCATCCGTGTGTTCCAGCAGCCAACCGACCAATGCGTGTCCAGCTTCGTGGAAAGCCACTACTCGCTTCTCGGAAGGAGCGATCGTGTTGTCGCGCTTCTCTATGCCGGCGATTACTCGGTCCACGGCATACATGAGATCGCTACCGGCAACCTTTTTTTTCTTGGTACGCGCAGCATACAGAGCGGCTTCGTTGCATACATTTGCTATGTCAGCACCTATCAATTGACATTATTTACCTCATTACAAAAAAAATTTTATCAAAAATAATTTTACTGTAGTTCAACTCACCACTAAAACCTGGTGTCAAAAATGCCATCCTAGTTGAATAATTACTTGGTTTTAGTTCCAAAACTATAGATTTCAAATGTTGTTCAAATATTTGTCGTCTTTCATCTAGAGTTGGTAAATCAATGAGAATGTGTCTATCAAATCTGCCAGGTCTGAGTAATGCTTTATCTAATACTTCTGCCCTGTTGGTAGATGCTAGAACAATAACTTCTTGATTTGATACCATACCATCCATTTCAGTTAATAGTTGATTCAAAGTTTGTTCTCCTTCACTATCTGACCTATCTGTACTAGAGTCTGATCGCCGTTTACCAATTGCATCAATTTCATCAATGTATATAATACTAGGAGCTCTACAGTAAACAATCAAATTATTAAAATAGAATTATTGTTAAAGTTTCATAGATAATTCACCTTTTTTTACCCTCCTTAAACAAATCCCTGACTCGTGCTGCTCCAAGACCACCAATCATTTCAATGAATTCTGAACCATTCATAGATAAGAATGGGACATTAGCTTCTGTTGCTACAGCTTTAGCAAGCAGCGTTTTACCACATCCAGGAGGACCCAATAATAATGCACCTTAAATAAGATACCCTTATAGAAGATATATCATAATTTTTTTTTATTGACAATTATATATTGCACCTTTAGGTACTTTGGCTCCAAGAACTTTATAGCGGTCTGGGCTTTTAAGATAATCCACAAATTCCATAACTTCTATCTTAGCTTCTTTTAATCCAGCAACATCAGAAAACCTGACTCCCTTTCCAATTCCAGTCAATGGATCAACTAATGTAAATTTAGCTCTGGTCACTTGGGATAGAATGTTAGTTGGGAACTCTTTCATGCCAAATCTTGGAAGTAAGCTGAAGAACAATGCCAAAAGTATAGCAATACCAGCAATGTGAGCCAAATCAACATGAGTTCTTTCATAAGTAATAGGAACTCCATGTTCTGGAAAAAAATTTTTATATAAAATTTTTTTGGCAACTTTTAAAAGTTTTTGTATGTAACCATAATTAAACTAACCAGGTTTTATTCCCAAGCTTTTTTCTGCTTCTCTTAATTTTTCCTCTAATTGGCTTGTATTAGGCATTTGCATATGGTACGTTCTGTACTGAGACCGTTTACCTTTAACAACAGCTCCATCATGCAAAATTATCATTACCATTTCATACTCTGGTCTCACTATGAGCTGTTTAACTTCTCCTTTGGCTAACATTTGATGTACAAATTCATTCCATGATACAAAACGAGGAACCTTTGAATTTAGAATTGTTTTATATATTATTAATGAATTATGTATTTTATTTGTGTACTTACCTCTCCATCATCCTTTATTGGTTTTGACATGAATATATATAAAAACATGATTAAAGATGCATAACTCAGCATTGTCCACAATCCTAACTTTATCATCAAAGCTTTTCCTTTTTCCTGTTTAGCCTTTTTATCCTTATCATCTTTATTTTGATCATTTGGATCATTCGAAGGGTTAGCATTTGTCCTATACGATGATGTGCTTAAATATTTACATTGTTGTAAAAATTGAGAACTCAATTTTTCAGATAAACCACTCTTGACTAGAATTGAACGCATAGCTTTATATTCATTTTGGATGTGCTTTCTAGCCTGAGTTGAAAATACATTTAATTTAAAAATAATATGAAAAAATTATAAATTTTACGGAAAAGTTGAAATGCATACATGATGAGGCAAGGTTCCAAGTAACCGGTATATTTGATCGCGGTTCCATAAACAGTTTCCAACACTTTGATTGTTGAGTAACAGTTGCCTATGCAAGCAAGCGAAATTGCTCATTTTCGAGGCGGCTACGCCTCTTTTTGATGAATTTAAAATATTCTGCATTTTCGCAGGCTTATTCAATTTTCAATCAAAATTAACTCAGAAAGATTGTAATATAACGTAAATAGTTGCGGGAAGATCCAATCATATCAGCCTCGAGGTTAGAAGCTGAGACGAAAAAGAAAGATTTGTTCGACGCGACCTGTCAATTGAGATAATAGTTCGCGATTCGTGTGCGGATCATTTTTTTCTTTGGTAAACTCGAAAAACAGGTAGGCACGTTACACGACTCGGAAAATGAAGCCGATTATCAACGATAGCTGTCGTACGAGCGACTGCCTAGCAGAAGCAATATTACCGAACTTTTGCGAGCGATGTACAGTTGCGGTGCAATAAGCACGTTACACGTATAGACGATATCATAATGTGTCAATGTATATGTATACAGATGAAACGCGGCTTGCATTAGCGAACGCAACAGCTGCTTCGCAGAAAATTCACATTTTGAATTGTCACAGCATGTTGAACGCGATCTGCTTTTTCAATTTACCACCTATGGGAATAAAGGTTCAAATTATGGAACGCCGTCGATGCGTACGCGGCCCAACCGCCAACCGCAGATACCTAGCTTACCGCGAGCCAACGTACTTTTTGCAGTTCTCGCTTGATGGCGTCACAATTTAGTCGCGGCTGTTCTCCGCTTTATATTGTTATTGTACCCGTTATATTTTCATCGGTGTAACTTATTAACTAATATGTTTATTGTAAACGTTTTTTTTATAATCGCGAACGAAATTGCAATATGTAAAACTGTGCGGTTAGAAAATACGAATATTCCGTTAAAAGACATCTTTTGTCGAATGCGGAGTAGAATGATGCGTGCGTTAAACAACGCAGCTCTTGGATTAAAGCGATATATGCGACGACTGCAAGTGATAATTATTTTACATAAATGTAGTTATAAATGTAGTGATATTTCATATGAACACCATTAGTGATTATGTTGCGATAGTTTTCAACCAGAACATTTTTAACGCAACATTCTATATCGAGTGGACACGAATTTGTATACATTGCGGCACGTAAGTTTGAATCCAAAGTATACAAACAGTTCTTATTTATTGTTAGTTATAGGTTTTAAAGTATCATTTTCTACGTTTGCTTTTGTAAGAACAAGTGCTTAACCTATTCGTTTGTGAAATCAATACTCTTCATACTTTTTCAATTAACCGTGAAAATGAAATGAATACTTTGCGTTTGTTAATTTCGATCATCATTATAATCAACCCCGTCGTTATAGGTTACAACATCAGTATATTTTGCCCCACATTTTTTGCTCGAATTCGGGTATCAGGCTCGTATCTGTAAAACTTAAGATCAAATATAACGTTCCTCATTGCCTCTTAAGCAGAGGTTTGTCAAGTGCATGCGTATACGTATGAAATAATCAAAACGTCGCGCGATTCCTTGCACAGCAGCGGCAGTAGCACTTGAAAGATGAACCCTTTTTTTTGTCGAGAAGCTATTGCTCAAGACAAATAAACATGTTCAGTATTTAAAGGCCGTATCATAATAGCTCGCAACTGTTTATATCTCGAAAGTTAAATGGCCATAAATCATAATGCGCTCGATGCAGTGCTTTATTTATAATTTTTCAAATTAATATATTTTAACAAAATATGAACCATCGCTCGAGAGTTGCTTCATTTACCGCGAAGCACATTATTTCATCGCGTGTGTGAGAATAAAAATTCAAGCTGACAGTGACATTCATTTCCCCAGAGAACAGATGAAAAATGTATCGTGAAGGTGAGCTCCGGAAACTGATTATCTGGACACCTGGTTTTAATATGATCATTGTTCTAGCGGAAGGATTAAAATCGATTGAAGCTAAGTCTTCCGATGCTAGCATTTAGAAAAAAATTCATTTCATCTATGATAATTGAGGCTGAGATTTTAACTAGTCTACGAGAAGTGTGCAGCATGACGTGGTATTTTCATGCGACACACGTGCTATTGTACAGTCTTCATTGAAATACAATGAATTTATGCATTACACAGATTCAATGGAAAACTTCATCTGCTCCCAAATTATGAGTAATTTCTATATGGATTTTAATAAAAAGCAAAGCAACGACCATCACACACGCTCAAGAGTAATCTCTTAAGTAGAAGAAATTCATTCATGATAAAAAGAAGTTCGATTGGTCTCTATATTATATAAGATATGGCTGCCGTACATCCGTGATGCGATTACAAAACAAACAATTCATCGCGTGCACGTTTCCGAAAAATAATCTCTAAGTATAGAATCTGGATTCATCGATGCTATCGCTAGAAGCCAAACGTCGTTGGACTCGATCGGCGTTCGTTACTCGTTTACAGGGAAATTCGAGCTTGTAGGAAATAATTTTTAAATCTTCGATTAAGTCGTCACCGCGTAGAGTATGTCGAGGATTTGCTGCTATAATACTCAAATGTTGCACGAAATTAGGCCTGGCAAGGAGCAACAAATATAAACATAAAAATAAACGGCTCGTCGCTGGTGAATGGAGTCTTGTGCTGGCTGCAGAGCGATCGCAAACCAATCGATCGATGCAAATTGCTAGTCCATTGTGTGCGTGTGTAAGTACGAGCTAGATTGACTCGTACGAGTCGGAGAGCCTCTGTAGCATTCCTGATGAATCGAGGTAGTTTAGAAGATACGGAGAGTTTTGGTTGGCTCGCAACAGGGCGCTCTATATAGAATACTGTTACGTCCATCGCGTCGGTTGCGCGATAGGCCGACGATCTTTTTACCGCTCCCATATACCTACTCGGCACATAAATTATAAGCACGAAGGTGCCGCGCGCATACACACGTGTACGCGGCTCCGCGTAGTGTGGCGAGTAGTGTAGCGTATACGACTGGTATGAGAGAGAGAGAGAGCGGGGCACGCAGACACAAAGCGAATGAAGCGACGAAAGTCGGGGGCTTCGCCTGGAATACCCATTATATATGAAGAGAGAGAGAGAGCGTACGAGAGCTAGAGCGTATATAAGTTTTGAGGCGTGTTTTGATAGCGTTAGGGCGTGTCAGGCCAGGGGCGACACAGTGTATTACACACGCACACACCACATCTCGTCCACCGCATATATATATATACACACACGTATAGTTATAAGCGCGCGTACGAAGCGTTGACGTTTCCTCTAATGGATTGCGCGGGCTCTCGCGAGCGAGTTACCTTATAAAGAGCACTCGACGAGGAGTCTGCGCCTCTGCTGCTGCTGCTGCTATATAGCCGCTAGCTGACCCGCTTCAATTTTTATCCATATATATTATATAGAGCCCCGCGCTCCGAAAAGTACACTTTATCTTTCTCTACATCTGGGATGGCTTAATTGATTTTGCTGCACGTTCGTGTGGTATACGTGTCGCTGCCAAAACTCCTCCGAACCGCCCGATGTCGCTCGTTCGTTGATCTTCCACCCCAATCAGCTCGTCCGTATGGCATAGAAATTTATCATCTTCAAACTTTGTCCCCGGGAATATGACTTTTTGCGCGCAACAAAATTAGCCTAGGAGAGATCGAAACCGTTTAGGCCGCAGCCATTTTCAATCGGGAATCCATTTTTGAGCCACCTTTAGATTCACGCAATCAACGCAAGATATTAAACTCTTGACTTTCTAATTTGTGTCCGGCTTACTGAACATCAAATGAGAAATGGAGTCGACCGTTGGCTCGGAATATACAGCATCCATAAATGCGTGACAGATGGTCGAAACGAGTTAATTATCTAACTGATTGACGCTGATGACCGCTGTCACTTTTTATCACATTTTTATACTTGTATCTTTGTTTCTATGTGTTTATACAAATTTTTAGTAAACCGATCATAGTCCAATGTGTCCATGACTCCAATTCAGCGTTCAATGGATTACAGGTATAGTAATTCGAAAGCGTGCCACAGATTGCTCAATGAGTGTACGGGTGCGAAAGCTTCAGGCCACACGACGATCTGCGTGACAGTGACGGCTTTTTTGCCAAGAAAAGGAGCAAAAAAAAAATCAGCCAGGCGCGAAGCAAAAAAAAATGTTGTTTTGCCACGCGGACGTGGGCACACACACACACACGCCAGCCATAAATTATAAGTGGCCTGGACGCGCAGCCGGGGAGTCCCTTAAACTCGGTCGATGGCCGATCTGTGGACACTGCACGCGCGTCGACTACTGGAGGAGCTGTTCTTTTGCTCTGTCTCTCTCTCTTCTCGTTCAAATGAGTTTGGCATACACGATCATTGCCTGCCTCGTGTCAGTGTGTACGCGCGCGCTTATTATATTGCGAAGAAAACAGAATAGGTATATATCCCAAACGTCACACGTATACGCTCACGGTGTGGATTTTTGGTATTATAAAGAGGGGCTGTGGACCGTTTTAAAAAAATATTTATCTACGATCTCTCTTTCTCGCTCGATCGCAAAGCTCTCGCAGGCTCGTTATATTTTTTTGTTGCGCCCGCCTCGCGTTGCGTGAGCAGCTCTCGGCTCTTGCCTTTGCCCTGGATGAATTTTTATTATTCATTAATTCGTGCCGTCGAACAATACACGTACTTGGGCTTTTTTTGGAGATCGAACGGCCCGTCGAATCGTTCGATCTCTCCGTCAATCGATACAGTTATTGTACGTGCTTGCGCGGAGCCTTGACAAGTCGATGGGACATCTTGAAAGTGTCGCGTCATCGAGCTGCTCGATACATCAAAAATGTGGTGACGAATATGTATTCGGGCGTACGTTGCGGTATAAGCCTCATACTAGCGACACTAAAGCTAAATTAACCATCTGAACCGGAGGCGAGAAATCAATGATTCTTCAATTTCAAGGTGATCATATCCTCATTTGTGAGCAGTATATCGTCATTATCGCGGCATACGCTCACTTGCCTTTTGGGACTTTGGTTACTTGACGATGTGATCACTTTGCGGTTACAAAGCCGAGCCGCTGACATGTCTGAAATATGAGACTCTATCGCCCAGACTATTTGATTTATTAGATTCTCGTCCACTCACACGTGCACAGCACCAACAAACACGTGCATATATACATAGATACGCCATCCAGGCGTGCGTCGCTATCTGCGACTTCTTAAGAAGTGGCTTCTTGCATGTCTGAGAGGGCCCCCAAGCGCCACCCAATATTGTGTAATTTGTTAATTGATTGTATGAATTGTATAATTTGTTGTGATGTAATTGTGCCTGTAATCCTAATATTAATTGTAATTTTAATGGTAATTGAAATTGTAATAATAGTTGTAATTGTGATTTATAATTGTTGTTTTGTACTCGAATCTTTTTATACTGTTAGATTCATTGATTTGTTGGGTGACAC